TCACACCTCTGACTGCAGTGGAGACTTACCCTAACACGCGCCTTAGTTGAACTTTATTACACAGATGTTACTAACCGGCACTGTTTGGACCCACAACGTTCCATAAAAGAGCTCTAGTTTTAATAGGCAACCTTACCTTCTAATCCCTTGAAATGTTCAAAACTAAGCAGAAGGGGGATGTCCAGCAGCCGATCTGCAAAAGCTCTAGGATGAAAGAGTCCTGGGTGCTGCAGGGTGAGGAAGCCTAGTTTGTCTTGACAGAGAAAACTACTGATGAAAGCATGGTATTGACTTCTAATGTCAAAGGCGCGAGTTAAAATGTGTTTTGCGCAATGTTGATTGACTTTTAGAGCGGAGCAGCATCACACCACATCACAGGACACAAATAGATCTCAGTGGAGGATGTGACATGCGAACAAGCGAGGACCTAGCCTTGTACAAATCATAACAACAAATGAAGGGAAAACCAGCAAGAGCATAAAAACAGAGCCATCAAATTCTAACCTGGTCCCTCTTCTGTGCTGCCCAGGGCATCCTGTCTTGGGTGCATCAGTCTTGCTTAGACTGTCATTTTCCCCCCTTTGGACAGTAACTGTCTTCATTTAGCGTTTTGTACAATGTAAAATACGCTATCAGCGCTTAAGAAATGATCAACAGTAATAATAATGAAGCAAAGTTGTACTGCACAGGATGGTCCAATAAAAACCTATACACGAAAAGCCCCACTGAAGTCTATGGCAGCCTGATCAGATCAGGCTCATGGGCTTTTAGATTATAGTTACTTTTTAAAAATAAAAACAGATAATTGCATTCCAGGCCATTTAGCAATCTCCGAATTTTGTCTTTTTTTGTGAAATGTTCACAAAATGAGAGCTTCCACCCCAACTGCCCCCTGCAAGAACACCCAACTTTGAAATGCAAACAAACAAACAAAAACGATTTTCACTGAAATTGCATTTTGAAAAGTCAATAATTTTGAAGGTTTCAGCGGAGTATCAAACCAATTTTTGCTGAAAATGGGCCCAATTTCCACTCCCTAATGGCCTTCCAAAAGAAATAATGGAACTAACATGACATTTGCTGCCACCACATTATTCACTCTGCTTGCATGTTGCATCCCTTCCCTCCCACTCCGTGTCGTTCTTGTCTATTCAGATGACAAGTTTGGTTCTTTGGACAGCACCTAGAACTATGGAGTCCTTGTCCATGACTGAGGCTCCTAGGCGTCCAAACAACAAATAAAAACCCTGATTTAGGATAGCGGGGCTAAAAATAGCAGTGTAGACACTGGGATCAGAATGGAGCCTCAGCTCTGAGGCCCTGCGAGACCTGGGCTCTGAGACCTTTTAGGCTGGGCCCTGCGAGCCTGAGTTAGCTGACCCAGGCTCTGAGGATCGGTGCTGAGGGGGTTTTGATTGCAGCATAGACATACCCTAAGCGTCCGCAGGATTTGGCCCTTTCAATTAGGCTTCTGTTCCTACATCACTTAGATGCCACGAAGGGTCTGATTCTGCAAGGTGCTGAGCACCCTCAACGCATACAGAGTTCAATAAGGATGGAGGGCACTCAGCACTCACAGGATCTGGAGTTAAACACGCCGTTGTGAAGTCCAGTCTCCTGAATTGCACAAATAACGGTATGAATTTTAAATGATGATGTAGGTGCAGCCATACCAGTGACAGGGCCCCTGTCCTAGCAGAGGAGGGACTCCCGAAAAACCAAGCTGAGAGTAACCTCTGCCTCTGCTCTCTCTGAGGCAGGAGAGCAGGTGCTGAGAATGAACTGCTGTGTGATGCAGGGCTTTGCGGGCGTCCATCAGCTGCTTGCAATGGCTGCAAGTCTGGCCCCACTGTGATATACGGAAAACCACTGCCCATCAACCCTTCTCTGTTTGAATGAGGACCTTGTCACTGCACTGACTGCACAGAGGTCTGGACCAAAACCACGGATTAGAACCACCGCCTAAGATCTTATGTTTGTTGGGACCATTAGAAATAGGGACCAGCTGGAAAATTCAGATCAGGGCTCTGATTTTTAACACCCTAGAGTTCTGATGTGTTGAGCTAGTATTTTTCATTTGGGTTTCTCTCAAATGGAACCGTGCATTTCCAATGGGCTTCTGTCCTAAATCCTCCATGGATTCAAATTCTGATCTCAGTTTTGAGTTTGTTATGATCTCGCAAAATGGGGTACGTTTCATATGGCTTTAGGTTTTCCTGAGATTATTGCACACATCCCTGTGCTTTACATGGAGACATCCATTTATATGCATACACATACACACACAGATTATCTGAGCTGTCCAGTTTTATTTCACGCCTGGGCTGTTCAGATCTACTTATCCTTTTAACATGAAATATCAATAAATCTGCATCACAGCTGTCAATATAATTTCTGGATAGCTAGTCACACTGGTAAAGAGAAACAGGAATGGGAAGTGACATTTTGCAGCTTAAGATAATGTGATAGGGGCTTCCCCGCACCCCCAATTCCTTTTGGGAGATTATTCCACACTCTCTTTTCCTGATATTTGGCCTAAAACTTCTTTTGCTTAGTATCATCCCCCTGGTGATAGTTAAACACCATCCTGCACCGTTTCACTCCCTCCTGAGTGTTTTAGCCCTTCCAACACTTGTATACAATTTTCTTGGAATTGTGTCCTCAATGGAAATGAAGATGATCCATTTCTAGAGACAAAACTGCACGGTAATCAGGAATAATCCTGCATTCACTGGGGGGATGGACTTGCCTCTTACTCCTAGATACCTTTCCCATCTCTACTTTCTATGGTTCTGGTATTCTAAAGGCTAAAGCGGCGGGACTAGGAGCCAGGACTCCTGGGTTCTCTTTCTGATTAACTTTTCTGTACCAAATCTGTAGCATTTACTCACTTCACAGGAAGAAAAGGAGTACTTGTGGCACCTTAGAGACTAACAAATTTATTTGAGCATAAGCTTTCGTGAGCTACAGCTCACTTCATTGGATGCTCATCCGATGAAGTGAGCTGTAGCTCACGAAAGCTTATGCTCAAATAAATTTATTCATCTCTAAAGGTGCCATATGTACTCCTTTTCTTTTTGCGAATACAGACTAACACGGCTGTTTCTCTGAAACTTGTCACTTCATAGGGATGTTCTGAGTCTTAATTAGTTTTTCCTAACGTGTACACTGCCAGGGATCTCAAAACAAATTCAAGCCTACACCCCATCCCCGGTTAGTGGTCTCACAATGATAAATTGCATCTTTAAACAGTTTGCAAATCCATCTCTCTGGAGACTCCTTACATCCCAAACTTCTGACCTGCTTTGAAAGGTGCCATTGCAGAAAAACCAAACCTGGCCCCAAACCATTTCTTTACTCCTCATGTGGATTCCTCCCCACCCTATGCCCTGAATTTATATTGATCTGAGGTGCAAGATGGGTCCTGTATCAGTCACAGGTTTAAGGTCCAATATCATTAGTTTAAAGGGCTGGATATCCCAAAGAAGAATCCTCCCTTTGCACGGCATTTGTTTCTAACCTTGGTAAATTGGAAAGCATCAGACTAACACTGACATTCTGGGTTTAGGTCATTTAAGAGTTTCATTCATTATTTTTATATTACTGTGGCCCCTACATACTGCAAGCAAGATCAGAGCTCTATTTCTTCTAGATGCTTTACATTCAAGCTGGTCAGGAATTTTTCAGTAAAATGCTAATTTGTTTAAACCAAAACTTTTCATGAGAGTCAGTTTCAACAAAGTTAGGCATGCAAAAAGATTTTCAAAACTTTTTTCCAAATTCTCGAAACATCCCATTTTGACATTTTCTAAATGAAACATTTCAGTTTTCCAGTTCCAAATAACTTTGTTTTCACATGTACGCTAATTATAGAACGTTTTTAAATAGTAAAAAAAAATCAAATATTTAAAAATGATCAAAACTAAACATTTTGATTGAACTCCCCCCACCCCCTTCAGATTTTCAGTTTGTAGAAGTTTTCAAAACTTTGATTTTTGGTCCCAATTTGGGCTGGGAAAAATTTCTGAAATCTCAAAAATGTTAATGGGATAGAGAAATCATTTCCTGTCAAGCTCTCCTGCGTAGACACATAGGAAGACAGTGTCTACACCCCAAAGATTTTACAAGACAAGATGGACAAATGGTAGGAGAAAAGAAATCTCTCCGTTTTGCAGATGGGAAACTGAGGCACAAGAGAGGAAGTCATAGAATCACAGAATATCAGGGTTGGAAGGGACCTCAGGAGGTCATCTAGTCCAACCCCCTGCTCAAAAGCAGGACCCATCCCCAATTAAATCATCCCAGCCAGGGCTTTGTCAAGCCTGACCTTAAAAACTTCCAAGGAAGGAGATTCCACCACCTCCCTAGGCAACGCATTCCAGTGTTTCACCACCCTCCTAGTGAAAAAGTTTTTCCTAATATCCAACCTAAACCTCCCCCACTGCAACTTGACCAAGGTCACAGAGGGAGTCTCAGGCAGAGGTGGGAGTTCAATCCAGATCCCCCAAGTCCAGTTCATCGCCTTAACCACAAGACCAGTGCTCCACACCCCATTTTGAACTCCCTGCTAGCATGGAATCTCAATTGCTCGACCTCAAGTTAACCTGGACACCGACAATTCTTAGTCCTTGTCTATAACAAAGTGACAATATGCAACAGTTCTGCCCCCAGAAAAATGCTACATACTAAATTACAATGCAACCATTTTTATTAGTAGATTCTTTTTTAAAGCGCTGACACTAGGATTTTGAGAAACTCTGGGGACAGCTCACTTTTAGTGCCACTGAAGCTGCACCCTGTTTATGCCAAACGTGGACCTGTCCCTTTGGCTGAAGGACCAGATTTCTCTCTGAATTGTATCTTAAGAATGGTTTAGTGAAAAGCATAAGCAGATGGTATTCTTCCTGTCCACAAGATGGTACTACAGCCCCACACTTTCCCTCACCGCATGCCATGCAGCAATGGGCTGTTGGTGCAGTCCACATCATTACTCACTTTACCTTGTGTGTTTTTCAGGCTCCATTTTTCTTCAGCCTTTGTGAAACCTCCACATTCCCAGATCTCTCCATGGCAGTCATCTCACAGCTGGGCCTCTCCGAGCAAGCGCCTGGGTGAGCGCTACTGAAAAGGTTACTCCTGAAATGTTAAGGGGAGAGGGGGGAAAAAAAAAAAAAAAAGTCACATAGCTCATAAAAATGTCTATAAATTGCTTTTGAAAAGTACCTATATGCCTGAGAGCACAGACACTTTCCTGAACACAATCCCATTTTTAAAAGCTGTAAGTATTACTATTAATCTTCACTGGGAGAAATTACCAAATTCTAAAGGGCTCTTTAATCTAGCGGAAAAAGGCAGAACAAGAACCAATGTCTGGAAGCTGAAGTCAGACAAATACAAACTAGAAGAGAGGTGCACATTTATAGCGGGGAGGATGACTAACCATTGGAGCAAGCTACCAAGGGAAGTGGTTTACTCACCATTTCTTGCTGTCTTCAAGTCAAGCCTGGATGCCTTTCTAGGAGATATGCTAGAGCCAAACACAGGTTATTAGGCTCAGCACAGGGGTAACTGACTGCAGTTTAATGGCCTGGGCTGTTTAGATTGTCCCTTCTGGCCTTAAATAATAAATCCATGGAGTTTACGTACAAACAGTGTACTCATAAAAGCGGCATCTTCATGCTCAGCAGATCTGCCCCTTACAAGTGCTGGGTTTTTGCACTGGCTCTGCACAGGGGTGAGTTGCTCTACCCAGCTGAGTCACTTCTGCTGATTTTAATGAGACACAGATGCTTGCCTTGTTATCCCTGAGCAGCAGCTGCAGCTATCGGAGGGTCAGCTAGATTCTCAGCAGGCTCATGCATCAACCACAGAACAAACAGCGAGGGTTGGACTGCAGAATCTTTATCCCTGCCAAAAATGTAAGCAGCAGCAAGAACAGTGTCGGCTTTTCAGAGTCCAGGCTCTGTTTCAGGGCTAGCCCTTAGAAAAATCATCCTTTGTCTTATAAGCTGAGTGAATGCAATTGGGAGAGACTAATATTTGAGCCCCTTATCTGATTCATCACATGTTCTGGTTTCTCCTGTCTCTAACCTGATTCCTCCCTTACCTATGAATGGGATTGCTGTGGGAACTCCACCCCTCTCTCCATTCAGACACTCCTCTTAAGGGCAGGGCTCTCCTAACTCTGTGTAATTAACACACACTCTACTTATAATCACTGTGCAGAGCTTAATATTCCCTTCTATTTATACTGCATATTCCATCTGAAGGATTTCAAGATTTCCGGAAAGTCAGCTCTGTCCTTCTCCCATTGATGCCTCAGGAGTTTTCCCTCTGACTTTAATGGCTTGCAGGCCTGTAACGTACAGGGATAGCATCCCCATTCTTCTGGGCCCCACGTAGAATGCAATCTGCGGCTTCACAAAGGAACGCACCATTTCCCTTCCTGACACGTTATTACATACACTGTTACTGTCCGTCCCCCCTGGCTGTTCTTACAGACTTATGGGTAGGTGACTGCAGGAGAGGAGAAGCAGCCAGTTGGGTTTCCTAGGGCCGGCCAGTTATTCCGGGACAAGGATACTCCTGTCCCACAGAGCAACAAAGCCTTGCAGAAGGGATAGTGCCGTAGCTATCTTTCAGAGTGCCTGAGCTTGTCAGGAGAGAGAACACTTGTAGCTACAACCAGGCAGGAGTGTTGCCATCCAGAGACTGATGCCCTGAAAAGTCAGCCCTGGGAAGGCAATTTAGTTCCTTGCTTAAAAATGAACTATATGCTAGTCACGGCAAATAAAAGTATTTGGCACACAGAGCACACTTGGGTCCTACTGATTAAATACTCATTGCCTAGAGCGCTGGTTACTTACTAGACTGCACAGCAGAGAACATTTTAAAGACAGATGATGCCTACTGCCTGTACTTCATTTAAGGAAAAGTAGAGCAAGCCGAACGGTCCATCCACGGATGATCATTTGGACTTGGTAATTGACAGGAAAGGTGCATGCCATATTTATTTAGTTGTGTTCATTTGGAGGATGGATGGTGGAATTATTAATTGCAAATAATGGCTGTTGCAAATGTAGCCCTTCTTTCCTGCTCATGAACTCACCCTGACTTTTGCCAGTGTATCTACGATTTGCCACGTAGTTTGAGTGAACAATTCTCAACCTATCAGTTATTCATAAACTGTTCACTTTGATTATTTCACTATTTGCAGTGTGGGGCTGGTGACTTACTTATGAGCTTTTGCTAGATAGCTAAACTTTTTTAAAAGTGGAGAACAAAAAAGTGCATAACAAATTCTATGAATTTTTGGATTAATACTAATTTACGCTATAATTCACAAAACTCCAAGTAACCGCCACTTGGCGGAATACTTGGCAATCCTGTAAACAACAGTGAACTGAACTTGATTGATAGATAACACAGCTGGCTGGGGAAACTGATATGTTTGGTGATTTTTTAGAAACCTTTCCTACAAATTCCATAATTTTTTCAAAATTTCATCAGAATTCTTCAGAAGTGGAAAAATTCTGACTGGCTGGGTGTCATCATTCTAGTTTGACTCACCCCACCCCACGCAGGTGGGCATGGCATCGCAAGTGAGCCCTTAGCTGGTTTTCCCCTCAGCAAGGGTATGAGCAAGTCCAAACACCCAGTGAAATTCTAAAGCTAAATGCTACCCCTTCGTGCAGGGTCTCCTTTATTCACAGAAAAGCCAAAGCAGAACATAAACAAAACTTTCACCCCAACATCTCCATGGGATGACTAGGTCAATCTTAGGCCATATCTGCCACCTGAGGCCAATGATCGCCTCTACAGGCTCTTCCCATGGGGTTCTCTTGGTTCCAGTCTCTGCCTCTGGGGTTAGGCCTCTTGCTCCTACTGGAGTAATATCCTTCTCTGGAGATGTCCATCCACTGTGCCTCTTCTCCAGAGATAGCAGGTGATCCTTGCCAGGTCAGGCTTCTGGGAAGCATCTGGGAGACCTCCTGGATGAGACCAGGTCCTCTTAGATACCTGCTGACCCCAGTCCCCCTCTCTAGGGGCACCCTCTTACAGGCTCCCCAACCGGGAAGGTCCCCCAGGGAGCTCACCTTCTAGCTCACCCAGACTTTTTCTGGGCACTCCCCTACATAGGAGCCTGCCATCTCCCTTTGGAGTACCCCTCTAACTGAGCTTGGGGAATGTTTATTAGGTCCAGGTGCTCGTTTACTAATCAACCGTCTGGGGCAGCCAATAACCCCAGGTGGGGCCTTCATAAGGCAGTCATGGGCAGAGTGGGCTCTAGCTCCCCAAAAAGAGCAGATTCCCTGGGATGTTTTGGTTGAGAACATGAAAAAAAAAATGCCAAAATGTCATCAGTGTACATTTTTTTTTAATAAAAAAATTTCAACAAAAATGTGACTGAAAAATGGAAATTGGAAAATTTCAACCATCTCTAATGGAGAGCAATTATTTTTAGATTTGTGACGAAGGCTCCCATGTATGACTGACTGTATTAATGGAAATCTTGCTTATTGTGATACCTTTGTTCACAGCAAGGCAGAACGAAGGTCTCAGGTGGCTGGATTTCATTGGAATGCCATTATCTATGTATGCAGCAGCTCCATGGGAGTTTCTGCAAACATTCAGGATGAAATCCTAGCCTCTTTGAAGTCAATGGCAAACCTCCCACTGGGGCCAGGACGTCACCGTCAATACTTAAGCCTCGTAAACCCGCTCTGAAGCAAATGAAATGCAACATACCTGTTAAATAGCTGGTGCTGCAGAGAGGTTGAGCAGCACCATTGAATCAGTGGTGGAGCTGGGAACAGAAATCCTGACTTCATGTTCTGTATTATAATCACTAGACTATGCTAGCAATCCTCATTATAGCAAAGCCTCCCCCACCGTTAGGGTGAAGCAAAGGGCGGCGGGAGAATGAAAAGAGATGAGAGACGTCTCTGCATGAAGATTCCTCTGTGTATGGCGCTTACCATCAGCCACCTCCATCCTGAGGGCCATAGCTGGCTTGGTCTCCATTCAGAATACTTCTGCTATTGTTGACTGCTTATCAAACTGCAAAAACGAACACGTCACAAAGCGGCAGCCTTCGTTAGTCATCCTGCAATTGTTATTCCCGGCCCACGCCGGGTGAATTTGAAAGTTCCTGTGATGAATGTTCTAACCTTTCCCAAGCTTGGCTGAGTGAAAGTGTCATAATTGTTTCCTGGCCTGCCCTTTAGCTGGCCAGTATTTCCTTGGACGACTCTTTCTGCCCCCTCAAACGCTGTCTTTTTTCCCCCTGTGGAAACAATTGTGGGTACAGGCTCCTCTCCAGCCTTATCCTTTAAATAACTTGGCACTCTTTTCCACCACAGATTCCACCTGAGTCCCCTCAGCTTTCTGTTGTTCAGTTTACCCTTCGCTATAGTACACTCTCTACTTCCACAGACTGCTGTCCTCAACAGAGGGCATGCGTGACCCATCCTAAAAGTGCATGTCCCCATTCTAATGGCTGGTCCGCATCGGAGGTTTATGAGTCTCATATGGGTTCTGTAAAGGAGACCGGCTCATATGTTTAGTGCTGAAGGTTCTGGGTTCAAATCCCAGAGTTGTGCCATGTTGGGTGGAAAATGGGTTTTGAACCCAAGACCTTCAGTGCCTATATGGACCAGCCGCTAATAGAAGAGGGAGACCCACTCTCACTTAGTGTGGGCTACACATGGTTTTAGGAGGCAGTCTGTGTACCTAGGGTACTTATATGGTCCCCGCTGCCGTAGTATCTGAGCAGCTCACAGGCCTTAATATATTTATCCTTACAACACTGCTGAGAGGCAGGACGGCACCATTATCCTCATTGTACAGATGGGGAACTGAGGCACACAGAGGCCAAGTGGCTTGCCTAAGTTCACCCAGGGAGTCGGTGACAGAGCTGGGACTTGAACTCAGATCCTCGATTAGTGCTTTAATCACTGGACCATCCTTCCTCTAAGTGTGTGGCTAGATCAGGGGCTGTTGAATGGGCTATAGCCCCAGCTTTGTAACTGATATGGTACAGAATTTTTGGCAATGTTGTTAACCAGACTAGAACCCGGCCAGGGCACTGAAGACAATACTTGTAAACCGTATGGCCACAGGTGTCATCCCTTACCCAGCTCAAGGGTTAAATCTGGGACCTTCCTGTGCAGCAGCTCAATACAGCTAAAATAAAGGGAATAATTGAAAAAGATTAAAAAGAGCACCTTTTCCAGGCTGCTGCCACCTGAAAGCATTTGTGAAAGAGAAACACACCAGACATGTGTCTCATCATGCACAGTGTTTACACCAAGTCATCCCTCTTCACTCAGAAGTGCGATAGGGAAATGATTTTTTTTTTTACACAGGGATTATCTGCTAAGACTGACAGAACGGCAGCTGCTTGTAATGAGAGAGAACATTCCCACTGCACTCTCCTAAACACATCTGTGAGTAGCAAGGTGAAGTGACATCGCTAATGCTGATGGGTGCCATTACAGAAATATTAAGCATCTCTCTGTTAGACTGATGTTGAGGGCTCAGCCTCCTGTCTCTACAATCTACCCCGCAAAGAGCCTGACTCAAAACCTATTGAAACCAATGGAAATCTTTCTATTGGCTTTGATGGCCTTTGGCTCGGGTCCAGAATGACTTCATTGCGTCCTTTACTGCCACTCGACAGACTATTCAAACCATTGTGTGTATTTATGAATCCTGATAATTCAGGCAAAAACCTTGGTTATGCAAAAGTCCAGTGGACACTGTAAAATCTGGATTTAGGAGGGAAACTAGGAATTGAAACACTGGAGCTGAACATTTACTGGATCAGCCCAATATCTTGTCTCCAAACATGGCTAGTACCAGCTGCTTTAGAGGAAGATGCAATAAACCCTGCAGGCAACAGCTATGGGATAACTTGTCCACAGGGCAGTTTATTTCAAACTCCATTACATGGCTAGATCCCTGAAACTGCATGAGTGTGTGTTTTCCAAAGCTTTTTTAAAAATCCTTACCATTGTATCTCTGGACCCATGCAATAGCCTACAGGCAAGATAGGGACACATGGGCATTTTGGGGTTAACAGCAGTTTGTAAAACTGAGGTTTACCTGCATCAGCAAAATGAGACACACTAGCATGAGATGTTTATGTACAGCATATTCACATGTATTATCCTAGCAGTGGGTGACTATCGCTAAAGCTAAAATCCCTCTTTAATCTGAGGCCTATCTTTCATCTCTTTTTTGCTCCTTTTATATAATATATAATTAGAGAAAGACGAAACAATAAGATTCTTTCATACAAACCATTGTTAGATGTTAGAGGGACATCCGCAGACAGCTGACTCCAGAGAAGGATTCATAGATACTATGGTCAGAAGGGACCATTATGATCATCTAGTCCGACCTCCTGCACAACGCAGGCCACAGAATCTCACCCACCCACGCCTGTGAAAAACCTCTCACCTATGTCTGAGCTATTGAAGTCCTCAAATCATGGTTTAAAGACTTCAAGGTGCAGAGAATCCTCCAGCAAGTGACCCGTGCCCCATGCTACAGAGGAAGGCAAAAAACCTCCAGGGCCTCTTCCAATCTGCCCTGGAGGAAAATTCCTTCCCGACCCCAAATATGGCGATCACCTAAACCCTGAGCATATGGGCAAGATTCACCAGCCAGATACCTAGGAAAGAATTTTCTGTAGTAACTCAGATCCCACCCCACCTAACATCCCATCACAGGCCATTAGGCCTATTTACCATGAATATTTAAAGATCAACTAATTACCAAAATCATGTTATCCCATCATACCATCTCCTCCATAAACTGATCGAGTTTAATCTTAAAGCCAGATAGGTCTTTTGCCCCCACTGCTTCCCTTGGAATGCTGTTCCAAAACTTCACTCCTCTGATGGTTAGAAACCTTTGTCTAATTTCAAGTTTAAACTTCCAAATGACCAGTTTATATCCATTTGTTCTTGTGTCCACATTGGTACCGAGCTTAAATAATTCCTCTCCCTCTCCGGTATTTATCCCTCTGATATATTTATAGAGAGCAATCATATCTCCCCTCAACCTTCTTTTAGTTAGGCTAAACAAGCCAAGCTCCTTGAGTCTCCTTTCATAAGACAGGTTTTCCATTCCTCGGATCATCCTAGTAGCCCTTCTCTGGACCTGTTCCAGTTTGAATTCAT